AAGCGTTGAGCTGCTGCCAGGATCATTAAACAGTTTTCAGTTGTATACCCAATGTGACACCTTATTTCGAAAAGTACATGCTCAACACTTAACTCTCAATGAGCCAATGGTTATAGGCCGTAAGCTAGGCGGCTAAGTTCTTTATGATTTTTTCTCTTAATTCTTGTAAAATAACAAGTCGTTGAACCCCTACTTCTGTTTTTCATTTCGGCACATCTAGTGTCTAAACCACATGGTCAAAGTCCAGGCCTGCAAGCCACATTTTGCACAATGCTTCCCACAGCTCACTGTCCCAGGCCAGGACATGGGACAGGACAGAGGACAGAGGGGCAGGGCAGGCCCCTCCCGTCCCCTACGGCCATCTCCCCTACCCTGAGGGTATGCAGTAAAAGAGGGTATGAAACTTAACCAGTTTCAGTTTTTCTGTGTGAACTGAGCAAATGAGAATGTATCCCCTCACTCTCTGTCTCTCTTTGCCTCCCTTTTATAGAGCTGCCTTCTCCCTTTTCTTTTTATTCGCCCCTGTTCTCTTCGTAGAGCTTTTTTACCTTCCAAATACAAAACACTGGGCTTACCTTCCTAAACTGCATACAGGGGCAGCATGGCTGACCACACTTGAAAGCCTCGTGCGTGTTTTTTCCATGGTGAGAGGGATTCACCTGGATCCAGCCACAGCCCGTGGTACTTTTCTTTTACACCCATGAATTTTCCAATTGCTGGTCCAGGGCCAGAGGGCGGAGTTGGTAGCCATGAAATAAAGAAGGTTGGCTTCTCCTCAGATCTCAGCTTCAATAACACTGCGTTGCAGCCAATTGAGCTAACTGGGTACATTTGTTAGAAGAAAGATTGTGCCTTTGTGGAGAATTATGCCAAAATTTCTGCTTCAACCCCCAGCAACAGATTCTTTGGGGTGTCTTAAAAGGCCATTTGGGAAATGGACTTACATGGAGCAAATAGAATTTCGGTTAAATGGTTACATTTGTTTCCCAAAGTGTATCAGAGGGAAGCTAAGCTCTTCAGAGCATGTGTTCATTAAAGATTTGAAGTGGGGTGGGAAGCAATAAAAAAAAAAAAGGCCAGTAGGTTCTCTTGTGAGATAGTTTTTTGTTCCTATGAATTGAATACACTCTCTGAAAAGTTTCAAAAAGAGACTGGGAAGAATGTATTTGCTTTGATCCAACATGTGGAGTGTTCCCTACCACAAATGCCCTTTAATTTAGAAACATTGTTGAAAAGTCTATTTGAAGGTACATACAAATATAATATGTAAATAAGCTCTAATTAGTTATTTCAATTAATTATATTTTGTTTCTGCTTCGCAGCTCTATTTTTCTTCCCATAGTGTTGCTTGTCAGAGTCCAGCTTTGGCACCCTGCAAAAAACATGCTTTCCTAACAGTAATTATTAAGAAAACACATTTTTCCCTCTCTTGAAAACTTTATAATGATAGTGAAATCCCAAATTGTGTATCTTTACAAGGAATTGTTTCAGACATTTTTAGTCTATGATTTGCTAGTATAATATTAAAGAAGGAAATCTGGCAGTTAATTGAAAGACTGGGTGTTTCCTTCTTCAAATAAATGGTATGTGTTGTTTTTATAACATGAATCTACATCAGGCCACCAACTAGTCTTTAATCTTCTTTCCCGACCATCCTATGTTCTTCGAATGATAAATGTATTGGATTTGAAGATTAAAAGTTTTAATTCTTTCTAAGTCAAATAAGATTCTTCTCAGTGGGGACAATGAATGCTCTGGAAAAACACTGGTAAAGTGAACTCAGCTTGTTTCTACATAGTAAATTTTTGGAAATAGACTAAGAACCTGAAATGTTGATTTTGGAAGCCTAGAAAATAAACTGTGTGACCAATTATGAGCTTTTCACTGAGCCCACGGTTTGTACACCCTCTGCACTTCACTTGAGTAGAGTTAGAATCATAGAGCTTGCAGGACTTTTGTAGACACCTAGAAATCAGGGAGCAATGCTCAGTTTTTATCCACCTTAGCTCCTGGTGGTGGTTGGGTAGGAATGCAAGTTCCTGAGCCCGACCCCAGATCTACGGAATAAAAATCTCTGAGATGGGGTCTACATTTTTCGCAAACATCTCTAGAAAATTCTCATGCTCTCTGAATTTGGCAAACCACCAATTTAGGCTAACCCGTTAAATCTGCAGCAGGGAAGCAGGCCTAGTGAGTTGATGGGTCAGACTTTCATGGTATCATAGACAACAACAGGCTTCCCGACTCGAGGCTTGTGCTTGTGCACTCACCTTGTAACCAGAACAGTCCTGAGCAGGCGGATAGGCTGAAATCTACTTCTGTGATTAGGGGCAATTTCAGCACCAAGAGTAGGAGAGCATGGTTCTAAGTAAGGTATAAGGGCAAAGACACCCAAAGACTAGAGGTCAGAGTTTTAGTGCCGGTAGTTCTGTGTATAAACTAAAACCTGAATGAACCTGAGGCATGTTATCTGAGCCTTTTACTCCTTTAGGAGCCTGGAGACCTCTGCAAATAGCCAAGGATATTTAGCTCATTTGTTAGCTCATGTGGTTGAACCCTCAGTGTGTTAGGCTTTGGCCCTGTGTGACTGGTTGATATACACATCTTTAGGCTACATGCTGTCTTAAAATGCACACTTGTGTATTTTAATATTGCCTAGAAAATTACAATAAAATCATATGCTTCAGTAGGTACTACTGATATTCCCAGTAAATATCCAACAAATGCTTACTAATGTTTATTATTTCCAAAATTCAAACAAAAAGGTAAAATAACCTAAATTTATTTTTGCAGTATTCTGCAGTGAGAATTTCAACTATAAGTATGATTCTGAATTTGTATAAGATCATGATTACTTTCTAAATCATTAGGAAGGATTGAATTCTATTCAGTGTCATTTTGTCATTAAGTCAAGTTGACTGTCTATTAATTTTTGGAAACTGCAATACCCCATTTTCTAGAATATGTCAAGATCCACTCAACTCTTTTTCAAACTCCATGTATGAACACGTGTGTAATGTATAAATCTTAGAACAGACAATATATTTTCACAGGAAAATAACAAAAGTAGGCTTTCAAGAGACAGATGACCAAGTTAGGAGTGTCTATTCTAGAACAGCTGTGGGAAATTAAAATCCCTTTATATGCATGTGGCTGTATGTGTGCTCAATAATATTCAGTCTGTCATCTCTTCAACATAAGCATTTAGTGATGGTCTGCCATGAGCAAAGCTTTGTGTTAAGTGCTGAAGGTAAAAAATAGGCCTGAGAAGATAGCAGTGCGGTTTTGGCTGCACGAGCACATAAAAGGGCGTACCAGCGTAAGGAGACAGGCGTTACATGCCAAATGGGCAGTGTGGCCAGCGGGCGCAGCAGACAGCATCCCGGCGTGCAGAGCCCGGTGCCTGGGGCAGCGCCTCCTGAGCATCTAGTAGGGGCGACGTGTGTGTGGCTCCTCCTTATCTTTCCCACAGACCTCACTCCTCAGCCACTGGGAAAAAAAGAGGAACTTGTTAGGATTTTGTTGGTGCTCAACAGTAAAGTAGTAGCTTTTTGGGGAAGGAAGAGTATTGAGCTCTTGAAGCATAATACCAACACCTTTACTTTCTGTCTCTCTATACCTCTCATATTTAAAAACAGTAGGATCTCATTCTCTTTTTGATGGATGCACGGTGAAACTGCTTGATTACTGATGCCATTTTATTTCTAATGAAAATGAGAGTTCTGTGAGCTTTATGACCCTTTTATTCATGCAGTTCACATGAATCAGTATCTTCTTAGGTTGGTGATTTGTTAAGTAAGTGTGTTTTAGCTCTTTCTAATGGAAATGGGGTGCAACACTGATCATTATATCATCATTATTATTAATATTAGTAGTAATTTATTTTGTACCTATATCACGAAATAGGCTTAATACGAGATTTCTTTGATAAATGTAGTCCTTAGCACCCTGCCGTGAAATGGGTCATATGGAAGGATTTCTAAAATGAAAGTTGTAAAGCAAAAATGTCAAGAAAGGGCCGCTGTTTATATAATCTTGATTACCTGTCTGGATTTTGTCCGCTGGATTGATTGTGGCAGAGTTGTACGCTCAGCAGTAGAAGGTAGTTCCTCCCATCTAAAGAAAATTAGTGTCTTCTTTGTGGCAGAGCCGTGCTCACATCCAGGTTCCCTGACAGCACCAGGACAGTGCTCACGGGACCATGGACTTCCCTGGACACAAAGAGCGCCTTAGAAATCACCTGCAGGCAACCAGTGGTCTTGAGTACTTGGCAGGATTTGGCAAAGCAGAGATCAGAGAAGAGGGCCTTGTGTAAGGAGAAATGCCACCTACCAGGATGTGGGGGGTAGAGTGAGCACACTGTGTTTATTGGGGGGACAGTGTGGAGAGTTCCCTGACTGGAGTAAAGGGGCTCCATTCCCAGTGGAGAGGAGCAGGAGCGGGTAGCTGGAAAGGTGAGATGGGGGCCAATCAAAAGACACATTTCTTTCATTGATTTTGGAAGCAGAGGCTACATACCGGTTTTTAGGATTATTTTAGAATCAGACAAGCTTAGAGCCAAATCCCACTCTACCTGTTGTTGGCTGGGTGGCCTCAAGACAAAATACTTAACTGGGCTACAGCCTTAGTTCATTCATCTGTAAAACAGAGCTGGTAACATCTTCCTCATAGAGATGTATGGCTCACATAACGTCCTGTATGAGATGCCCCAATAGAGTGCCTTGTGGCATTAGAGTTTCTGAGGAGGGTGCAAGGAGATAAAAGTGGGCTTGTAGGGAGACCGATCTGTGGCAGCTACGTGCTGAAGAGCTGGCATCAGAAGAGACCAGGAATGGGACCAGTGGGAGCTGTTGGGCTAGGAAGGAGGACACGTATCTATACATGGATTCCCTCCAATTTCTTTCCCCTTGTGGAATTTTGTTTATCTTGAGGGCTGTATAGCTTTGTCCTGTGCTGTTAACAGTACAGTAATCATAGACTCTCGTTTTTGCTTTGAACAGGATGCCAGCGATCCATAGGCCTTTCTAATGGGAAAGCCAAGGTGTGCAATTACAGTGGGTGGTATTACTGCAGCAGCTGCCACGTGGACGACAGCTTCCTCATCCCAGCACGCATAGTCCACAACTGGGACACTTCAAAATACAAGGTAGGCCCAGAAACCGGTTCACTGCATAACAGCAGTCTGTTTGCATGTTGTCACATGCACTATAAAGACAACGACATAAGCATTTGAAGCAAACTTGACTAGGTAGTCTCATAAAAGCTACAAGATCTTTTCCTACTTTCTGCTCTGTTGTGTTATCTCCCTCCCTTCTGTGGTTGTAACTACCGGGACTCATGATGATTCCCAGTTTTCTCTCGAGCTTCAGTTTTTCAGCTGAAAGTGAGGTCTGTGGAATTAATTGCCTAATGTACATCTCGACTTCAGTTTTCAGCCTAGTTGTCTTTGAGATATGTGAATTGGTTAGCTGCATTGTACAGCATTTTCACTCTTGCATAAACCAGGTACTAGAAATTGGCAAGGCGAGGGGTCTAACCCCGCACTGGAGTGGTACTTTAGGCTTAGGATTCTTTTATGATCCTCTGCCTGCCACGTAACAGAGAATTCTGCTCCCTGATCTGACTAGAACTGTGCTGATCCTTCTGCCTGAATATTATCACATCTGTCTTGAATGACCCTTCCGTCCAGGTGCTGGGTACAAAAATAGTCCGTATAATTGTGTTTGTTTACCTCCTTGCTAATAGATGTCTGAGACTTGCTTTCATTGTAGCTATAGCACCTGGGAACAAGGTAGGTGGAAAGGGGACCTGTAGCTTTGACCTCCCTTTGAAGGGGCGTGATCTTTGAAGTCTAAAACGAACGTGGAAATTGTGAGTGATCAGTTGGCTTACATTCCTGGGCAGCGTCGCCTCCTTTTTTACACAGTAACCATCCACATCTTCACTGTGTTCAAATGCCTCCTTCTCATCCTTCTTAGTATATGACCTTGCCTCCTTTAAGGAGAACACTGAGGCTACAAGATAGGAATATGAATACCTACAAGTCCTGTGTACACCTCAATCTCAGTGTGCCCCAAGTGAGCTTTATCACCCTCAGCTCATGCCCTCCCAAGAACACGTGGCTCCTCTAGTCAGCACTGCCAGGGCCGGTAGACATCCCTGCTCTGCCTAATCAGTTAGCAGAAATCAACTGTGGCATTTTAGCTCTCAAGGTCGTGCTGTCTACTTAACCCGTGACTCCACCACACTCACTTGAACCCTCACTCAAGGGAAAGAATTCAGTAGCTTCCTAACTGTGTTTCCTGTCTTCAGTCTTGCCCCAGCAATATTCCAAAAAAAAAGTTCTAATTTGCCGCCCAAAATTTTGCTCCAAAAAAGTCCTAATTTCGCCTTGGGTAAATTTTGATCCTTCCTCAGTCTCAGTCCCTTCATATTCAGGGTGACTATAATAGTATTACCTATTGCATAAGGTTGCTCTTTGCTTAAATAAATGAATCACTGAGAGCACCTAGTGCTGTGCCTGGTATATAGTAAGTGCTCAGTTAATGCCAGCTTTTAACATGTTTCTACCTGAGGTCAATACCACTCTCTTAGCTTGGCATAAAGATCTCTGTGATCTTCGGTCCCTGCCTTTGTAGCCCCTTCATCCACTACGTTCCCTGCCCCATGAGCCTCTTCAGCAAGATCTTGCTCTTCCTGCTCCCCAGTCCTGCCGGGCCATTCACACCTCTTTCTTTCTCTTGCCCTCCTTCCACACAGCAAACCCTAAACCCAGCTGAAACCTCATTTCCTCTCCTGATTCTGTCCTTCCCCTCTCCCAAACAGAGCCTTCATCCTCTCCCCTGCATCTTGTACTTGACACTCCGAATACAGGCTATAAATATATTTGCCATGTGTGTATTAGATAAAAACTTATTTAGAGGGAAAGAACACTGGTTGGATTTGGTTTAGACAGTTTAGACTAATCTGCTTGGAGCAGGGCTTTGACAGCTGAGAGAGGTGTGTGGAGGGGGTGTGAGTGAGGCTGTCCGAGCCCCACCATCATTGAGGGCTTAGGCTGGTGGCACCTGCCAGCAGCCGATATGCCGATCAGTGGAGCCAAAGCAGGAGAGGTGTCCCTGAATGAGGAAAATGAAAAATCTGGGCATAGTTTATGAAGACACGAAATGAAGGAAGAAATCCATATCTGTTTGCAGTGAGCTGTAGAGGCCACCCAAACCGTCAACGATCAATTTAGCCATCACTGACGCTTGCAACCTTTCTATGAGGCAGGCATTTTGCTGTGGTGGTCATTCAAATGACAAGGTTTGATTTTAAGAGGATAGTAACTAATTGAAGATATCAGGTACCCTCACTTCATCCATGCTGCACGTGAGGAAAATCTCCTTTGTCAGACCATTCCTTCTCAGGATGTCAGTGGACAAGAGAAGATTTTAAAGCAAGAGCAGAGCTGGTCGATTTTATCTGGATCATCTCTCACGGGCATTAAGTAACTACAGTATATTCCATTTAGTGTGGTGTCTGTCTGTCTTTGCTCAAATGCAGGATTTAACTTAATGTTCCTAATTGTGAGGATCAATTCAGACCTATCAGTTTCCAAAACCAGACATCTTTCTGTTAGATCTGCCTGCTCTCCCTAATAGCACGTACGTGACTGGCTTGACTATCCATTTAAAAGAGTGAAAAAATGGTCTCGCAGAGCAGGATGAAATCTGTCATCTTAAGCGTTTCCTTGTCTGTCCTCTGGGGTAATAATAATCCTAATTATTTTTAAAGCAGGATTTCATCTATTTTCCGGTATACATCCTGCAAATTGAATTGAGCTCCAGGATTACCCAGCAGCTAAACCCTATCCTCAATTTCTAAAGCCATTTTCTAATGAAATTCTCTTTGACAATAAGATAACTCACCCCGCCTCCCCACACCATTCAAAAATACGAAGCATGACAAAGAGGTGGTAAGAAACTCAGACTTAGCCTCAACTCTTCCTAATAGTTCCCCTCCATTGTGCTTTTAAAAAATATTTTTGTATCCTAGCCTGAATATTCACATTCCATTTAGCTAGGGGTTTTCCATGTTACATAAACCATTTCCTGTCTCTATTATCTTGAGAGGCATTCAAAGCAAGCTCTATTGCCCTTGCAGAGCTGGAGAGCCGTTCGCTGATGGGGAAAACCACTTGTTCAGAGCCATTTGGAGATTTTGAGAACAAATTGTAATTAAACTTAAGATCTCCTGATTCCTCCTCCATTAGCCCACAGTGCCTGTTTTAACAGGACCAAGTAGTGTGTGGTTGGGATTGATTTCATTAAGGCTTTCACCATGATTTTTCAGAGATGGGAAAAAAATACTGGAAGAAAACCTTATACCAAAGCAATAAGTGGTTATCTGACTGTGTGGTAAGATTATGGGTGATCTTTTTTTTTTTCCTTTTTCAATTTTTATTCTCCAATTTTCAGTAGTGTGATTATATTATTTTATAAATTTTAACTGTCACTTAGCTTCATATATTCTGTTTAAGAGGCAGAGACAAATGTATTTGAAAAAAATAAATTAAAATAAAACTTAAAGAAACAAAAAAAGAAAATATGTATTAGAAATTAATGTTTTTTAATGCCTCAGAATTATGTTTATGTTTGTCTTGTCCTGTGATAGAAAACTTCAGTGTGGACTAACATGGTGTGAGAGGCCATTTTTCTGTAAAGAAATTGCCTTGCACTGCTATTCTTTTATTCTTCTGTTATGAATATACTTTCAGAAATCTCAAGATTCAGAAAGTACAAAGAGTGTATGCATGTAGATAATCTCCCTCTCACCTCTTTCTCCTACCCACCCTGTTCTTCTTCCCTCACGCAGGCAAATTACACAAACATGTGTTTTCTTACATAGAAATGGCAGTAGGTGATACAGTATATGGGCTACTCTTAGAGAACTTTCCACTTAGGTCATAAAACTCTTCCTTGGGCTTAAATATATATATAGTCACTCCAAATTCCATCGTGAATTTTACACACACCCCCCCCAATTTATCCAACCTGACCTTTTGGGGGATTTTTTGATGGACATCAAGGTTTTTCCAATCTTTTGCTCTTACAGACAGTGATCCAGTGAATAGCGTTAGGCATCATTTTGAATATAAGTTCCTTCATTTATGAGTGAGATTACCTGCAGATAATTTTCTAGATGTAGGTAAGTATGTGGAGCGAGATGGATGTTGCCAAACTGCCCTCAGTCAGTGTTGTGTTCTACTGCACTTTTACCTGTGTCTTCTTGCAGGTGCCTTTCTTCCCTTCTACCAGAACATCAGCTGTCATTTCTGTTGTCACTGTGCTGCCTCTAGTGTCCTTTCCCTTTTCTACTTTATTACCTCTAAATAAGTTGTGAACTTAGAAACAAATCACCAAGCTATTAGAAGTATGTTTAAAGTAAAAGTGTGAGGTTCAAAGCCACAGCCAGAGTATTGTCAAGTGCTTATTTATTTGTCCAGCAAGCATTTATTGAACAGGGATTGTGCTCACCGTTCTAGGCTTTGGGACACAGTCTCTGTCTCATCGATTTCTCCTGAGGGAGAAAGACAGTAAAGGAATACACAAATAAGAGACTTCTCGATGAATGAAGTGTTACTGGACTTTAGTTTTTCATTTTGAGTTAAAATCAAATGGGAACCTTGTATGCCAATGTATTGCCTAGTTATATTATAGGTTAGTCTCTATTTGTAGACCACTTGCTTGCTGTTTGTCTGGGGAGGAGGGATCGCCTCTTTTAAAGAGTAATGAGCACATAGTTTATGGTAGAGTTATTAAAAAATAAAAAGAACTGTGAGTGTAAACAGTGCTAAAAAGCGCAGAGCAGAGTATCTGGAGATCTTATGATTCTAATTATTTTGGTTCCAATTCTGCCACAAAATGACCACAGATAAGTCACCTAAGCTCTCTGGACTCAATTTTCTCTTCTAGATTAGTTCAGCATTTCTCAAAGTGTGCACCATGGAACACTAGCAAGTTCTGTGCATGTTAATAGTAGTTACTCAAAAAGAGGGTCCTGTAGATGGGCCACAGGGAGATCAGCTTAATAATCTGAACAGGGCCCCTCCAGGAGAACACAGTCCTGGGAGCTCCCAGCTTGGCAAGAGGATGAATCTAGGTAGAGAAAGATGCTCCTTCCTCCCATTGGTGGGCGGAGCCCGGGCTGGATTTCATCTCCCACCACACCCTCCGCCTCCCCAGCAGCCTGCACAACTTCAACAGCTGCCTTGTCTGTACTCAGATATGTTTGGGACGTGGCTGGGGTAAGAGGGCTTTCTCTAGTACAAGATCTTCCAGGGCTTTAATACACTAACTTGCTATACTTTGAGTAATCAAGAGAAAAATGATGTGTGGCATATTTCTTGTGGGACCTCAGAACATCTGTTTTGCAGGATTAGTGTTCCTTGGAACACAGGTTGAGAAAAACTGAACTCGATTATCTGTACCAATCCTTGCTATTCTAAGATTGTGTTCTCATCTGTTTTATTCTGATACATTTTCCTCTCTTAACAAAAGCTGGAGTCCTCGCTACTGCCATCGCCACCGCCACACCATCTCCAACTTGCTGTTTGCCCCATTGCTTTAGTACCCAGGGCTCTTTTCTGTGGGGGGCATGCTAGGACACTCTTCTACATCCTCTCTCTCAGAATTATGTGAACCTGAACAACATTCAAGAACTCTGTTTTTAAGAGGTAGCTCTCACCAGCGTAATAAATCTATGCACCAAGGATGCTTAACGTTCAAATTAAATGACGCGTGTTTATTTATAAATGCATATGTGTATGTAGCAGGTTTTGGTCATTATTAATTTCAAGCTAATTATGGCCTCATGGCTATTTTCTGCCTCAGGGGTGTGAGGTGGGAACACACCCATCCCCCCCCCCCCGCCCCGGGCTTCCTCCTCCTCTGCTCCCTTGACTCACGGAGACGCAGGGCTGTGAAGGAAGAACCAGTTCACAAACTGCAATGCAGTCACAGCTTTGAGTTCTTACAGCTTAAACTATTCTGTTACAAGGTTAAAGAGCTATGGGAAGAATTTCATTTATATTAATAATAATAAGAATTAAATATCTAGTAAAATACTAACAAGTCAATAGGTAAATGAACTATATGGACCCTATAAAAACTTTTTAAAAGGAAAGAGCATTGGGCTCATGCATCTGCACCTGTGAGCCAAGTTTTCTTATCCATCAGAGGCAACACTCGGCCTTTTCATGTTTTCCATACGTTCAGTTGGCAGGAGGCGGGACAGCAGCTCTCAGCTTTCAGGTGAAATTGTAGTCGGTGTTCATGTATAATCCACATAATATTTATATTAACTAGAAGGAAACTTTTTGTCATGTAAACTTTATCACCTAAGAATGTCATTGGCTTCCTTCTCTAAGTAACTATATATATTTTTAAACATTTTCTTTTTTAAAAAGCTGTTAAATTACAGCTGAGTTTGAAAGTGCAATCCTCATGGACGGCCATTTGGAACTTAGGGAAAAAAAAAAGTGCTCTATTTTGCAAAAATGGCATTTCATGCCGAATTCTGAGTTCTCTCAAACAGTTCCTCACCAGTAAATGACTCATTCTCAAAAACAAGCATGTGCTCAGCCTTGCTGCCCAAAATGGCTCCGCTCGGCAGCAATTTGTTCACCTCCTCGGGCAGCCACGGTCACAATATGCTCTGTATTCTTAACCTAGTTAATAACCTCGTGGAACAGTGCCTCAGACATTATTGAAACTAGCTCTGTTTTTGTTTTTAGTAATTTCAGTTTATGAATGCTGATGTCAGTCGCTGCTGTCCCATTTGTCTTACTGCTTTTACTGTCTCTGTAAAAGACTTTCCCCCCCTCCTTTTGGGCTTAAGTGCCACCTGAAGAGAGAAGCCTTTTAAGGCCTGGAAGACTGGCCAGTGCCCTTTGTCCTTCTGTTCACCTACTAAAAGGTAGCATTGTTAACCTAATTCAGCAGGGCCCTGACTCAGTGTAAACACTGCTCAATAGCGCCAGAAAGACTAATTGAATTGTACAATACATCATTTTTCAGCAACAGTTTCAAGTGGATTGTACTTCATTTTCCAGAACACCATTTGCTTTTTTCCTCATTTAAGATATTTAAATATAGCAAATATTTAACCATGATAAATAAAATATATTTGAACCCAGTTCGGTCTTTCCCCACTGAACTGTGAGCTACGTGAGGACAGGGCTATGCCCGTTTTACTCTCCGCTGCACGCCCGATGCACCCTGCAGTGTCTGGCACGGACCCGCGACTCTGTGCCTCAAAGTGAGGCATTACTTAGTCCTGCCAACTGTTATTTCCAGTATAGTAACACAGTCAAAGGGTTTGGCTAATCCTAGGTGCTTGTTTGTGAGCTGGAGTTACAGAGATGGTAAACTTCATTAATTTTAACTCTGTAACTCTGCAGGACCCCAGGATTGTGCAACACAGCAGGGACCTCAAAATAATTGCTTTTAAGGAAAAAATAATACTTTTATTAGAAAAGAAAGTTGATGCATGTTTTGCATCTCTGTAAGGAACAAACTTTTCTATGAGCTTTACAATGAAAGATAGTATTGAATTTCATAAATATGTTTTCAGTCAATACACAGTAGCCATACATTTAGTTATCTTGGGTGTTCAATGGCTGTGTCTGCTTATTGTACTCCCCTCCGTCCCGTCCTTACCCACCAAGTGAATTTCTACTTATCTGTCCAGACCTGGAGCCTGCGTCACCTGCTCTGCCAGGCCTGGCGTAGCTCCTAGCTCCCTTGTCCCAGCACAGTTGACTTCTCCCTCCTTTAAGCTACCACCATATTTCTTTAGTGGCAGATGACAGGCTATGTGCTACCCAATATTTTGTTTTAAATATTTGTCTATCATACTAAACAGTGACGTCCCTTAAAGGTAGGGACTGTATCCTATTTAACTTCATTAATAAGCTTCTAGCCTAAAGTGTGGAACATAGTGTGTTTTCCATTTTGTTTTTAATAAGCAAAGTTGTTTGTTTTGTTTTTATGATGAGTTCCAGCCTTACTCCCAGTACATGAGGGGTTTCGGTGGAAACCTGAAGGGGTTTTGCCTTCCATAAATAGAAACTGAGCCAACTCTATGTATCACTAGTGAATCCTTGTCTGTTTCAGTGAATTGGAATGTACAGATTATCTGTGTGTTACGCATTATTTAAGCAACTCCTTCTGTCTCTTAGATGAATTGGTTTCTACTATTTATTGTCCTGATAACAAAGACATTTTACAATCAACTTTTCATCGTTAACTACCAGAGGTAGAGATAGACTTGGATGAATATATTGGCCACAGGCCATCCAAATTCAAAGTTGTTCTAATAAGAAAAACTCCTTTCTGCTCACTAAAGTGTGTGTTTGAGCCTGTTTTCTATGCATTGAAATTATTCTGCATATAATTTTTTCTTTTTTGAAATATTCTTTTATTCCTCTTGAATTTTATAATATGTGCATGTTTTACCTATTTTTTGAGAGCGGTTTCTTATAAAAAGCACTATAGAACATACATACATACATATATATGCATATACATATATGTATTTTTAAAATTAGTGAATCTTAATTCACTTTAATTTTTTTACTTTTTATTTTGAAATAATTAAACAGTCACAGAAAGTTGCCTAGATAGCACAGAGTGGTCCTGTATCCCTTTCACCTAGTTTTATCTCCATTGGTTACATTTTAAATAACTAAAGCATAATATTTTTTGAAAACCAGAAAATTGACATTAGTAGTGTATTAGGTCTGTATAGTTCTGTGTCATTTTATCACGTGTGCAGATTCACATAATCATGTAATCAGGAAACAGAATTAGTGAATTCCTTTGAATGTCAAGGTTACTTTTACCAGTTGAGCTTCTGGAAGAGGGAAAGAAAAGCCAAAATTTATATTTAGTTAAATGGGCTCCTTTGTTTGGCTGCGATACTTAAGTTACGGTTTTTAGTTTGAGGAGGTGTTAAAGCCTGATGACTCACCAGAACTGATTAGGGACGTTTATTTTGTAGGTGTCTAAGCAGGCCAAAGAGTTTCTGGAGTACGTGTATGAGGAGCCCCTGATCGACATCCAGCAGGAAAACCCCATGCTGTACCTACACGCCGAGCCCCTGGCCACTGTGGTGCGGCTGCGGCAGCGGCTGAAATCGCTGCGAGCCTATTTGTTCAGCTGCCGGGCAGCCGTGGCTGAGGATCTGCGCCGCAGGTAAGAGTCATAAATGTCAGATGGCTCCAGTTTGTTTTTCTTGCCTGCCCTGGGAGGGCGGTTAGATGATCTCCAGGGGCTTTGCCAAGGCAGACCGTCTTGAATGCGGCAGTTCTCCCTCTGGGCTCATCTTTGACATTTCCTCCGAGGTCCTCTATCAGGTTGAGCCAAGCAAAATGAAAACAATATCTCAGCCTAAGTGCAGGCTTTTAACCCAAGAATCAAGCTCCCAAGATGGCAACGGCCTCTCTTACCTAAAGGGTAACTTGAAATAGTGATTGTGGCAGTGTCTTTGTGGGTAACTTCTGTAGCATCTTAAACTTTTCCCCATTCAATTCTTATTTATCATCAGTAAAACCAAGCATGTTTGAACTATTTCATAACTTAAAAACATTTCGTAGTAGGCTATAAGTAGGGGGCTATTCAAGTCTTATTTTCCATAGAGAAAGGCACTTAGTAAGTGATGCAGGCGGTAGAGCTAGAATTAAAATGCGCAGGCCCGGGTGCTTTTTTATAGCGTTTTTGTCTCAGAGTTCACAGTGTGCACAAGTCTATACCAGGCTCCGGTCCTCAACGTCAAATTGAAATGAAATGTGCCTGCTCTCATCAAATTCCTTCTTTTACAGTTAGATTTTATTGGCATTTAAATTCTCACTTTTGGCATATACAGACTAGCTTATACTTGATATAATTGTTGATGGTGTTCATAAGTCTCTAAAAATACCTTTTAATTTTTTCTGTTTTAATAGAAATGACCAAAAGCATACGTTAGTCATGGACTTTGGAGGTACGCCTATGTGCATAAGAACCTTTGGAAAGTATTAAAAGTGATACAGTTTGCTATTTGAGATACAATTAGATCCAAAGACATTAATATAACCTCAGGCATCTGAAGAAGACATCTTAAAAAGAACTAAGTGTAGATAGTGAAGAATACATAATATCTAGACAAGCTCTCATAAAATAATAATGAAAAGGCAGCTGCCATAAAGCGGAATACTTCTTAGTGGTAGTCATTCTATTACCTAGTTGTTGTTTTTTTTTTTTGGTGTTTTTTTTTTTTTAAGAAAGCCCTAGAAATTGGTCAGGATTTGTTCTTATAAAGTCTAGGCAAATGTTAATTTAAAAATGTCAGGGCTTTCCCTGAAGGAAAGTAAAATTATATCTCAAACTAATTTACCAACTAAATTGTATACAAGTTTTTTAACATTCAAAGTATGTTTCTTCTATTATTTTCAGTACCTTTTGGCCTTCCTCAAAGCTGGTTTTTTCTTGTGCCTGTATTTTTAGATGGTATTAAAATTTGTGCATGGGAATTATGTTAGATATTATGTTTCTGATATGTTTTACTTTGGTTAAGTATGCTAAACAGGGCATACATTTAGAAATTAAATAGGAGATCCTCCCTTCATATGGATGACTAAGACTACCTCTGCTGTTCCTACAGTCTAGTGGTTCATTTCCGTGTACTCTGCCTTATGTCCAGACTACCAGAAAAGGAATGGAAATTCTAGAAGGAAGGCACTCCCAAGGCTGTGAGAATGAAGACAGTATTTTTTTTCTTTCCCTTGATTTTTCTTCTCTGGCCTTGTTCATGACCATTATGTAGTGCAGTGCCTGGCACAAGGTAGATGCTAATAAGTATCGAATGGATAGATGGAAGGAAGGAGGGTTGGATGAATGGCTATTGATAGTGTCACTTTAAATCACTGAACAATGGCTAGTAGCCCAATTTTAAGGAAAGAGTCATCTTCAAATTCTTCTTTTTCTTACTTCCCTATGTTACTTAGCACAGTGTATGACCCATCTGAAAACCTCAAAAATAGTTGCTGAATGAACAAATGAACTAAAGAATAAACCTAATCAGTCAAAAAAATATTTAGCTGGTTCTGTTTCTGGGCTAAGTCTGAAATCTTCCCTTTCCCTCTCACTTCCAGCACAGCACCCTGGTTCCGCCTCAGGGAATTGCACCTTCTGTCTGTCTGTCTCACTGAGTCTCTTCCCTCTCCAGTCGACCCTTCGCATGAGACAAATTTCTAAAGTATGGGATTCCAGATCTGCATACTGCAGTTCATTATATTCAAGTTCATTATATTGCTCTACCCTCTCAAATATCTTGCACTTCACACACAAATAATATTGTTATTTTAGCTTTTCCATACTTTCATGCTTGAGGTTACCATGTCTTTCCAGCCTGGCACCGAGCAAAATATACCAGTCACAAGCGTTCTTTGTACAGCTTTTGGTTGGGGGGCAGGGAGGGGGCCTAAAGGGAGAGGCTGGTCTTCTTGAGTTATTTAAAATCTTTTTGATTTATTTTGAAATAGGACTATTCAGTGAAAGATGTCTAAGAGATTTTCTGGGATGTGTCCATACTTCTTGCAGCTGGGCCATACTTAATATGAATTCAGTCTACAAAAGTAACCATAAATACCAAGGAGAACGATTGCGCACCTACTATGCTAATATCCTGTCCCCGCGGGTCATCTCTTACCTGTGTCTCACTTTTATATGGAATCTGACTTTTTAAAACAAAATTAGTCAGCAGCACCTTTAGGGACGGTCAGCTTGCCCAGAAGCTGATCCCTTTGTTTTGCCCGGAGATACAACAAATGCCGAGATGTTTAAACAATGAGGGAAACCTGCTGGACACGACTGATCTTACATATCCTTGATAGAAATTAAAAGAGAGAGAACTTGATAGGCAAGAGGGGAACAGAAAAGAGTAAAGAAAATCCAGTTCTTATCTCAGCGTACAAGGCATTCTCTCCTTGCCTGGGTTTTACCTCGGTGGAAGAGTAGCCATTAATCTCCAGCAAGTAGGCCCAACATGCTGAAGCCTTGTCAGCACCGTATAAACAGAATAAAGCAAACTGTTAATATTGCTGTCGTGAGAAAACCGAAAACAGACTGATTAATTGTATCGGCGCTCGACCGCCAGGGAGCCAACTTTGGTTGTCGCCTTATTAGGGAAGTCACAGTTTGCTTTTAGTCTTTTCATTATGATGGCCGTCCAGTTTTCGCCCTCACTGTTTTTGTTATTGTTGTTAAATGAACGCCTTGTTCTTGAACTCATACGGCAAATCCTGACTGGCATAGGTGATTAGTTTAGAAAAAGTCAGTGTCTTCCATGAAGTCTAAAATGTTTACAGTGCTGACAACTCGCTGTTTCTGAGGACTCCCAGATGGCGACCCTGAGGGACTGGTTCAAGGCCTAGTTAACTTTTCATGAGAGGAATTATTTACAGTGTCCACACATGAAGGTGCATGAAGAACTCTGAGGAAAATCTCAGCACCGGCAGGACATCTGGGTCAGCAGCCCTTAGGGAAGGCCCTGGGAAGGCCCCTGAGAAGAGCGGGCGGGGGCCTCAGCCCTAGGCTTCCTGCGGAACTCAGGAACAGTAGGGTATAGGTGTAAATCAGAAGTCACGGCTGAGCACCGCCCTCAGACGTGTTTGGCTTGGCCTTTCAGAGATGGCCCCGCCAGGTTTTTAAATTGTTGAAATAGTTGCAAACATTAAGTAATCAGGAGTTTTCGTGAACACACAAAATGAAGCTAGCTCACTGGATTCTCGGAAAATCAGACGCTCTGATCTGCACAGGGCTTCCCCCATTCCCGGAGGGCAGTGATCAGCTTGAGACGCTGGGCTCTCTACTCTGCCTCCGTCTCTGTGCTCCTGTTGTCTCTCCCAAGACACAGTGGCATTTGGTATAAAATATGTCACTGCCTTGTTTTTCTTATCCCCGGCCTGTTTCATTTGGTTATGTTGGTACCTGTGCCCGTGTAAGATAATTATGATTTTATCAATTAAGAAGTACTTTCCCATAAATATGTTATTTGTTCTTTACAACAGCCCTTATGGGTAGGACCGAGGATTTTTAGCAAGAACAGAAAGAACTGTGACTCTGAGATGCTATGTGGCTTGCCTGAGGTGACAGAGCTGGTGAGCAGTAGGTCCACAGGCTTTCTATCGCTAAGATCGCTTCTGCCTTCCCGGGTGCGTTTGCTGTTGGTGCTGGTGACGTCCAGAGGTCTCCAGACTCTTAAGAGGAACTGCTTGTAATTCTTCTGAAGCCTTGGCTGAGGTCATCTAGCAGAGTATGAAGAAAGGCAGGGAGGTGGCATGCAGTACTGTCCCATGCGCAGGAAGGTGGGAGGGCTGACACAGGCACCCTGTGCTCACTGCCAGCCCACTCAGCCTCGGAGAGGAAGCCATGACAGCTGGCTTGGCGCTCACGAGTTCATTTTCTCTAGGCGGCCGTTTACCAGGCCCTTGCAGTTCACAGACCTGTAAATTTAAAACAAAAATGTGGAGACATCTATAGGACTGTCTTATATATGTCTATAGCCAAAACAAACTTAAACATTACCACCTGTTTCTCACTATCATTTCATAAAAGAACATAGTAACACTAAAAAAAAAATGTATGCAAACAACCTCAGAAATCAAACAGCTTTTTAAAAATCAAATAGATTTAAATTTATTCTATTTTTTTCCCCTCATTTTACCTTGTACTGCTAAAAGCATCGCCAGACTGATACCAGCTGTTTGGACCAGCTTTTCAGAAATCCTGATTTAAGTCATATTTTCTCTTCTGAGTGGAGTGCAATCATCCAATCCAGGGAAAGACATTCTAGAAATTAATGTGGGTACTTCAGCATTTTCCATTCTCTATCAAAATGTGATTTGGGGACTTGGGGTGCCTGGTGAATCCAAAGTTTCTATTATGATATAAATTGAAAACTGGCTTTTCTCCAACACTAGTTGAGGCCAATAGGCAATATTAAGTCTATTCTCTCAGTTACTTAGAGCAGAACTGTGTTGATTGGGTGAAACAGTGGTCCTACTTGGCTTAGACCATTATGAAGCAATTTAAAGTTTCATATTCCCTTAAGACTCCCAATTAAGCTTAATTAAGAGTCTCAAGGGAATATGAAACACAATTCTTCAACCTTCTAAACCACCTTTTCCTGTCTTTGGTTTCACATTTTATTTGAA